CAAATCAAAACCACACTCAGATATCACCTCACGCCAGTCAGGTGATATCACGCCACCTAGGATTCCATGCAGGGGTGGTTAAATGGTAAATGGGGATAAGGGAAAGTTGTTCAAGGGAAGGAAAGAAAGCTTGGGAGCCTCAATTCCTCTTTTTCACTTTTTGTAAGAAAAGCTTATGTTTCACTAATTAATACTTACCTTCAACTGCTGTGCTTCTGTGTAAATTTTGTTTCAAAAAGGTGGGAAAAAAGTTCAAATGCATTAAAAAATGTCTCAGAAAATCACTGCACTCTACATTTTCTTTTCACTGATCCCTGTATTTTTTACTGGTTCCAGGATTCTATGTTTCTATTAGTGACATAAAGTTAGAGAAATAGATTTTCAATTATAGTAGTAATTTCTTGAGATTATTCTTTTTTGGAGTTGATGCATAGGGGCAAACTATGTCAAACATTCTCAGCAATTTCCAAATCAGTGATTTTCTTCCTTTTTTAATTTTTTTTTAATGTTTATTCATTTTTGAGAGAGAGAGAGAGAAAATGAGCGGAGGAGGGGCATAGAGAGAAGGAGACACAGAATCTGAAATAGGCTCCAGGATCTGAGCTGTCAGCACAGAGCCCAATGCCAGGCTCAAACTTGTGAACTGTGAGATCATGACCTGAGCTGAAGTCAGATGCTTAACTGACTGAGCCACCCAGGCACCCCTCAAATCAGTGATTTTCTTAAATGAAATTTAAAATTAAAGCTTGCTGTAACTGACAGTTTTTTGCATTTATATTTAATTTTTGTTATTTTCAAGACATACTGTACATATGTGAAAAATAAGTTATATTTGCATAATTTCATTTTTGTCTTTTTTTAATGTTTATTTTTGAGAGGGGGAGACACAGAGTATTAGCAGGGGAGGGGCAGAGAGACAAAGGGAGACACACAATCTGAAGCAGGCTCCAGGCTCTGAGCTGTCAGCACAGAGCCTGATGTGGTGCTCGAACCCACAAATGGTGAGATCATGACTCAGCTGAGGTCCAATGCTTAAATGACTGAGCTACCCAGGGACCCCAATTTAATCTATAATCTTAAGATATGAACATTATTTCTAGTAAAGAGCTAAAGGTGGAAAGAAATGCTTCTATCTTAATATGCATTAATTTGACTTTTAACATAATTCAAATTTATGTTTAAACGTTACCTTGTGGTATTAACTAGTTTTTAAAAATAGTGGCACATAAAAGGCATAAAGAAATAAAAACATGGACAGATTTAGAGAACTGGTAATAATACCTAACAGTAATAAATCACTGCTTAATCTAATTCAGACTCCTCCTAGCTTCTTCTGGCTTAATCAAAACGTTTCTAACTCTTTAGAAATTTTATTTTGAAGTCAAAAGACCTCTCCAATATAATTATAGCTCTAGGTTTTGAAAATCATTGCAGTGAAGGAATTATCAGAGTAAATACTGTTGAAAAAATACTCTAAAGAGTTGTTATGTCTTCTTTTCCTGACCAAAAAAGAAAAAAAAAATTGTGAAAAGGAATTTTATCTCATTGTTTACTAACAAAAAATCAGAAGGGGTTTTCCTTACCCCAAACTGAGCCCTTTACACTTTGAGACAAGAACCTGATGGGGCGCCTGGGTGGCGCAGTCGGTTAAGCGTCCGACTTCAGCCAGGTCACGATCTCGCGGTCCGTGAGTTCGAGCCCCGTGTCAGGCTCTGGGCTGATGGCTCAGAGCCTGGAGCCTGTTTCTGGTTCTGTGTCTCCCTCTCTCTCTGCTCCTCCCCCCGTTCATGCTCTGTCTCTCTCTGTCCCAAAAATAAATAAACGTTGAAAAAAAAAATTAAAAAAAAAAAAAGAACCTGAGTGTTTCCGGATTTTTATCTGAGTCCTTGCCAACTATCACTCGTACCGTCACAGAGGCTACCTAGTTTTTTCAGAGGTTGCACTTACAAACCCCAAATCACCAAGACATATCTTCTAACGACCAAATATAGACAAGTTTTGTATCAAAAATATAAAATTACACCCTCCCAACTAAATATGAAGAGAACGACATAAAACAGCCTGAAAAAAAGGAATAAACATGATCTGACCAAAGAGGTAAAGTAATTTTTGTACAGAATAAGACTTTATCAGTGCATAGTGTCCTCAGAAAGGAATAAGAAGAGACCTATAAATCTGGTTGAAGATTTTATGAACACCAGTAGAAGGGACAATCTTATATAAATATAAGCTATTTAAAATTGTATCCTAGGGGTGCCCACGTGGCTTGGTCATTTGAGTGTCCATGTCTTGATTTCGGCTCAGGTCAAGATGTCATGGTTTGTGAGTTCGAGACCTGTGTCGGGTTCTGACCTGACAGTGTGGAGCCCACTTGGGATTCTCTCTTTCTCTCTCTCTCTGCCCCTCCACCCTCAAAATAAATAACTAAAACTTAAAAAAAATTGTATCCTAGAAGATATTTCACAAGTGTAAATATGAAACAAACAGCTTGAAAAACAAAGGTCAATGATACTTGACAAGGTATTTCTCAAAGAGAACACTTGATAAATATGTACATATTTACATAGGTTTGTTATTATCACAGGACTTCAGATTTCATTTTTGACTTTTTTATGCAAAGTAAAAAATTCACTGTTAAACATTTAGCAGCTCCCACACACATAACATCCTTCAGTGGGAATTAGGTGGCCCTTGTCAGGAGCACTTTAGTATTTTCCTCTCTATATCCTCATTTGAACAAAATCCATCTGGGTCTGTAAACTCCCTTAAGGAACGCTAAGTACATTCAGAACACAAATTTTCACTTATGGTGTCAGTCCCCTTGTACATGAAATGTGTCCGACGTATCCTGGGAAAATTTGCCCTTCAAAGTACCTTTCATTTTCCATCTCCGCAAACCCCATTCACCAAATGAATTAGAGTCATCATTTCATTGCAGGTGGTGATTACTATTAAGCAAAAATTGTCCCTTTCACTCTGCTATACCTTTGGCTTAAGAGGAGCAACATTAGCTAAGGCTTATCACATCATATCGATACTTGTGTTAATTTTGGGTTGCAAAAGAAATTACTAAAACCCCTGGGAAGTGTTTAACTCCACATATTTTGGCCCCAAATATATCCTTACCTGTCTTAGCACAGTGTCATGTAGAGCACAATAAAAGGGCACCACCTTCTTGGGGAGATACGCAGGGAGCCTTTCATACATGTAGACACAAAGCATGAGCATCAGGATTGGGTTAGGATCACAGATGTCAGTGGCCTAGTTTCAAAGAAGTGAAATATAAATTAGAGGATATACAGATAAAATATAGAAAAAGAGCTAAAGCACTATATCAATTATTGTATTACTTTAAAACATTTTAAAATGTTACTAGTTGACAATGACACTGAATTGTAAACACAGTAAACAGATTATTGCTGTGAATCAGAAGAGCTTGACCTAGGTGTTAAGAGATGAATTAGATGTGTTCTAAGTATAACAATGACCTCACAGCCTCAAAGCCTCCACAAAAGCTAGTCAGAGGTCATAAAAATATCATGCACTAGAACTACTAATGTGACTAAGACACCATCCCTGATTTAAAGTACCATATATAGCAGTAAAAGAAAACTGGGAAGTAGACCAACTACTGAGGTAAAAGAAGGCAAGAGTTTCAAGCATAAAGTTTAAGGGAATAGGTAGCCCATGAGATGGCCCTGAAGAATGCTTGGAGTTTATAAAGGTTATGTTTGGGGTGCAGAAAATGATATATTCCATCAGTAAGGCAAAGAACTACAGTGCAGGTGTCTAGGGAAGTAGGGGGTTTGTTTGTTAAAGAAGTGTAATTTAAATCATGTGTAAGGTCTAAGGAGGGACAAGTAGCATGTGAAAAGACTAAGGAGCACCAGGGCCACACTGTGCAGGGTGCGGAAGCCAGGGTGAGGGCCTGGATTTCTCAACAAGGAATAACACAGGAGCAACAATTCAGGCAGATGCGGCGCGGCAGGGGGTTGGAAAATACTTTTCCCAGAACATACAAATTGTAATAAGTCAGAAAATGTAATTATATTGATAACCAAGATAAATTAGTGATGGTTGTTGGAACAGATGAGATAAAACCCAGAATTGCAAAGGAATAATAGCAGGGACAATCAACACAGCCTGAATGTACACTGAATACAAAAAGGAGAGTCAGAAGTAGGAGGAAGGATTCTTCGTATCAGATCATGTAGTACCTACAATGTCCTTGGACAATGTGAAGGTGGTAGGAAAGAATTATTCATAACAAAAAAGTATTGAGAATGGTCTAAGGCAAAAATTCAAACACATAAAACACCACAGATAAAGAAGCAATTGTCAATGTACAGGGAGCCCTCTACACTTTCATAAAATGAAGACACACTATGATTTAATCGCATGCATTCAAGTTAGTAACTGAAAATGATCCAGTCCTGGCTTGGAAATGCAACTAGTGTGGGAGTCAAGGTGACCTAATGCTGTTATGGGGGACTAATGCACTTGACTATGAAGTTCAGCAGCGGTTACCAGCGAATAAAGACAGCTCCTATGATCACCTCCTAGTCCATATCCCCAAATATGTTCTTTTCCCTCTTTGGAAGAAGAGAAGAGTGTTCTTTCTTGCTTTGTCAATAATCAGTAAGACTAACCAGTAAAAGTTCCTGGGGAGGGGATATTAGTAAAAACTAAGGGAGGTGACCTACTTCTGCAGGGTAGAAAGCTGTTGGTGACCCTGATTTGAGGAAAACTGAGAAATACACCAAGACTCCAAAGTTTCTCATCCGTATTCTATGGTCTCACATTTCTTCATGAAAGACAACATTGGTCAACAGATGAAGGAAAATTATTTGAGATAGAAACAAACTAAAAAACTAAATACAGAATTTAATTCCCACAAAGTGAAAAATATGGTGCTGCTGGGCCCTTTGGAATGGGCCAGCCTATGAGTGTGATTCAAAGAGGGCTGTCTAGAGTGATGGGAAATGTGTTTGTTGGGGAAAGGGGAAGATTTGTGGCAGAACACTCCAGGCTCAAGTCTCAGGTCAATAAAAGCCTTTTGAACACTTTTTTTTAGTGATTACAGAATCAAATATATAGGTAGCAATACAGAATTATTCCCCAAAATTATCTTTGAAAAATATATAATGGGCTGAAAATGTAATAATTTGGTAATTAAAAAAAATACATTTATCTTAATGGAAAAAATATGTTTCATCATTAAGATATTAGACTGAAAAAAAACAGAGAAAAGAACATCCTTACTTTCCTTATAATAAATTCCAATGAACATAATCTAAAGCAATTACACCTTAGCCAATCACAGGCTTGAAAATCCAAATGTTAAATAAGTTAGGTTTGTTTCAAACAAGATTTTTAGGTGAAATATCTTTCAAAGATATAATCATTACTTTCTCTATACAGGGCTAACCTAGAATAACTTTAACTGTATTGGTTCATTTCCCCCCTCCCCCCAATGATAGTATTTTCCAACTAGCTTCATAAAAGATGAAAATTAAACAAAAAAGGTCATAATAGAGAAAAATGCTGGAGGAGAAATCTGGTAAACCTAATTCAAGTCCCGCTACGATACAGTGCCATGATCTTGATTAACAGGAGAATTTCAGTAGAAATTTGTGGTTATTAGTGCACATGCCTAAAACAAAGCCAGCAGGCTGAGAAGGGCTGAGCAAAAATGAATCTCTAATAGCTTTACTGAGAAACTATCCTTATAATCTCCTAATGCCTGACTTTATCTAATGTAAAATGTTCATTTTTTTTTTATTTTTAAAGCACTTTCACTCATTAATTCTGTTATTTAATGCTATAAGCATCCAAGTTGATAAAATCAAACAAAATTTTTAAGAGAAAAGTTAGAATATCTATTCAACATTAGCTCCCATCACTACTCAGTGAATTAGGTATACTACAACTTCTGTTAACTATCGTATTTATTTTTTAGATCCATTTCTCTACATAAGGGACTAAAATTACATTCTATACTGAGTCCAAACAATTCACACCATATTTTTGCTTTAAATATAAAGCATGTCATAAAAGGGAGAATATGTAAATAATTCTTACATTCTAGCTAGCAGGATTCCATAACAGGACACAACACAGCCACAGAAACATAGCCAACTGATTCCACACTTGCAAAGAACACAATAAATAAGAAACTTAAACAGTAATAAATATGTCCAGTGTTGAATTTCATTTGTCTTAAATGTGAACCAGTGCTAAGCATCAGCATTCATTCACTATGGTTAAGTTAATTTCATATTATTAAACATTGCTATTTAATGTGGTTGGCAAATTCAGGCTGATAAAAGTTAAGGAATAGGAACTGGTTGGTAAAAACTTGGTAATTTATCAGTTAGCTGTCAATTTCGCCATTCATCAAATTTTAGACACCTTCTCTACGTTTTTATGTATTAGATACTCACATTTTAAAATATGTTTTGGCTATACAATAAAATAAAACTTTTGAGACAACATACCTGAGGCAATAAAAAAACAAAGGAGAGAATTACAGTGTATGATGAACTATATTTTCAAAAACAAAAATATTTTCAGTTTCTTGTGAACCCATACCAAATTTTCAAGGGCCACCTTAAACATCAAATGCCCCATGCAACTCTTCTTGGTTCCTGTACCAGAATGATTCCTGTCCCTTTTGATTCCCATATCACATCTCTTCCATGTGTATTGTGCATTCACTATCTGTTTTGCATCAGCTCTTGCTCATATACTTGTCACTATTAATACAGCTTTGAAGGCATAACTGTGGTTTAATCATATCTGTACCCTTTGCAGGGTCTATCCAGTGTCTTTTGTGGAGGATATTATATTTGTTTAATTGACAGAAATTGTAGTATTTTTGTTCTCTGAAACCAAAGTCTTTCATTGCAATTTATCTTTAAAGCTCTCTTATAAAAGAAAGCTCTGGTCAAATCCTACAATACAGTTTCTCTTTACAGCTACACCAATATAAAAGAATGTAAATGTCAGACCTGAAACAAAGTGAGTTTAACATGCAAGTGACTTTAGTACAAGGAAAAGCAAGCCATTATGAAATGTTATTTCTCCAGCAGGTATAAGGAACAACTTTATACCAAGCCATATGTGGGCACTGGCATCATCAATCTCTCTTGCATCATGGAACAGAAAACTCAAGAGTTACTTGTAATGGTCTTTCTTCTGTGCCCATCTTTTGTGACTGTTAACAAGAACTAGCAAATCTCAAATGTCTCCTATATCAGCTTATTATTTTAAGTTTCCATTTAAATGTCATGAGTAGAGAAAACACTTTCCACCTTGACTAAATGAAATTTTATTTTGATTGGTCTGTGTTCCCTATCTCCAGTCCCTCTCCCATCAAGTCCATTCCAACCATAGTTATGAAAGCAAATATCTTTATGCCCATAATACCCCATCGTAAACTTCTGACTTTTTATGCTGACATCCAGTATCCCAATATATACCTATATTGATTTTTTCTAATCCCAAAATTCAACTAAGGAATCTATTCACAGAATTTCCTTAATGTATGTCAAATATTCCATTTGGCATTCTGTTTATGTTGTTTCCTCTGAGTAAACTCCTTCCTCTCTTACCACTACCAATCCAGATCCAATCCACCCTTCAAGAACCCAAATAAGCACTGCCTTCTCCACATAGTCTTTGATGGATCAATCTAGATCATACTGATCTCTTCCTTATCTGAATTCTACACTTTATTTTTTTCATTTTATGACAATTACATGAGTAGAATGTTATTTATCATTTAATATGTATATATCTAGATTATCCAATGACTTTGTATATTCTTCAAAGTAAGAAATCATTTATTATACTATTTTATCACTCTAACAAAGAGCTTAAAAATAGTAAGCATATAATGGTTTTGATTACTGATAATGAGAACTTGATGTAAAAAGCCAGATGGAATTAGAACCTGGAGATCCAAACGTAGTAATATATATTGCCACTGCGATCTCTACATGAATATTTATTTTAAAACCAAAGTGAAAGTTTTTTTAGCTAAATTAATAAATGATAATGCATCTATATTCAAACAACTTTGCTCCTTTAATTAATTCTTAGAGCTTAAGTAGTGTTACTAAATCACTCAAGTTCAGTCTTAGGGTTTTAGAAAACTGGAGCTATCTTTAGAGCTACCTTCTTATCACACACAGCTGGATATACATTAATTATACAGATTTCAAAATATCCAGTAGATTGTTGTGAAGTCATATTTCAAATTCCACATTTCAGCAAGAGCTTACAAAATATGAGAACAGGGAGTCAACTAACACTTTCCCAAAGAAAACATATAAATGGCCAATAGGTACATGAAAAGGTGTTCAACATCACTAACCATGAGGGAAATATAAATCAAAACCACAAGGAGATATTACCTCACACCTGTTAAAATAACTGTTATCAAAAAAGAGGAGAGGTGTCATCAGGGAAATACAAATCAAAACCACACTCAGATATCACCT